GGAAAGATAAGTCGAAGCCCAAAGACTCGGCATAGGCGTAAAAGAGGGAGATGGTATCTGTCAAGTCGCGTGGAAGCCGGACGGGCGTTATGGAAAAGGTGGCTGTTTCTCTAGCCATTTTGGAATACGGCGAAGTGGTATATCTCCGGCCAAGGAAAAAGAACGAGATACACACAGGGTCAATCGAATGGCATTTCACCCGGCCAAGCAGCAAACTGGGCTGCAAAGTCTCTGGCTCAAAAGCAATTGCTTTTTGTCGTCCTGGTATTTGGTGCAGGGAGTTTCTATGAGTCAAGGGTGGGACACCCAAGGCCCCGGGGCGGTGAGAAGCCCTCCGAACCCGGGTTCATCCTCTTGTCTTTGCCTCTGTACCTCTCCACTCTGGTGCCACCAGGTGCATCGTTCCACCTGACCCTGAGAGGTTTGACATCCAAGTATCTCTCAAAGTATTGTGTTTCTTAGAACGAGAGATGGGTGGTAGTCGAGAAAGAATTTTCTGCTTCACGTGCTCCAGCGCGAATGGTACCCCGGCTTCGTGGAGAAAAAATCTTTAGCATGGACAGGGGTAACTTATTTTTTTTCCTCTTCGTCAGCGGATTCTTTACAAGCAGGTATCTAGCGTGAACGAGAAACATTGCTTCCAGATGCCACAGGCATTCTTAGCGAAGGGTATTGCTTCTGACGGCCCTGATGCCTGGAGGTGGATACGTTAAGGTTGCTGCATCTGACGAAGCTTTGGGGGAGGAGCTCAGCAAAGCCCCAGCAAGCAATGTCGAGCGACATCGGATCAAGTAGGACAGGCCGCCCAGCCCCTGCACTCAACCGCTTAAAGAGTCAAGAGGCGGAAGAGGAGGGGCAAGAGGGGGGCTTCGATAAGGTGCGTGGATAGGATTTGGGCCCTGGTAATTAGAACTTGAAAGCTGCAGGTCGTTCGTCATTATTGCTTCTGCAGGTGGTGCAGATTCGCCAGAGTCACCTGCTCCCGGAGCTACTGGTCAAAAGCCTGTACCTGTCACGCTTGGAGACCCCTGACATGCCTCGGAACTGTGTGCCACCCCCGATTCCTCGCCGGTGGCGCACTGTTGGCCCCGCCGTTCGAGGTGTCCTGAGTGCCTGACTCCCTTGAGTCTCCATCCCCAGTCCCCACCATACTTCACTTCTATAAAGTAACGAGTATCAACAAGCTCTCCCTTATCGAACCAATGAATGCGCGTACTTTCATTTACGAATTTTGTCAACACCAACTTGACAAACAGCTTGTCGATACGACGTGTTCGAGACTCACCTCTCTCCTGAGGGTTCAGATAAACTAGGGCAGAATCATCGTCCTACTAGCTTCACCTGCAACATGGATGTGCAAAGGCCTTGTCGTCACCCTTCGAATTGACGTACTGCTGGAGATTTTTTTTTTCTCCTGCCAAGGTGATGAGCTGCAGTTGTAGACTACAGAAAACGCTCAAATCAGGCTGAGCGGGAACTTCCTGTAGACTCACCCTGCTGGCCGTTATATTGTGGCCATTTTTCTTTCACCCACTTCCACTCTTGCTTCTACTTCCAACCCAAGCTTTTCCTCAAATCCCCATTTCACTCTACTTGCTTGCTGGTCTCTGCCGTTTGAACCCTCAACGTGACAACATGACCAATCTTCCCTCCGAGCCTGAATTTGAGCAAGCGTACCATGAACTCGTTTCCAGCCTGGAGAATTCGTCGCTCTTTGAGAAGAACCCAGAGTACAAGACAGCCCTCAAGGTCTGCTCCATCCCTGAACGCATAATACAATTTCGAGTTGTGTGGGAAGACGACAAGGGCGATCTCCAAGTGAACCGGGGATACCGTGTACAGTTCAACTCCGCACTTGGTCCCTACAAAGGCGGCCTCCGATTTCATCCTACCGTGAACCTTTCGGTCCTGAAGTTTTTGGGGTTCGAGCAGATCTTCAAAAATGCCCTCACGGGTTTGAACATGGGAGGTGGGAAAGGTGGCTCGGATTTCGATCCCAAGGGCAAATCAGACAATGAGATCCGCAGGTTCTGCGCGTCTTTCATGAGCGAGCTTGGAAAGCACATTGGTGCCGACATCGATGTTCCTGGTATGCCCAATGCGACCACTTGGTGCATTCGGTAGGCTGACCATATGCACAGCGGGCGACATCGGTGTATCCGGACGAGAAATCGGCTGGCTATTTGGGCAATACAAGAAACAGACCAAGACGTGGGAAGGCGTTCTGACTGGAAAAGGAGGCAAGTTTACAATGTAGCTTCCTGACAAGACACAATTTCTGACAAGTTGCAGGCACTTGGGGCGGCTCTCTCATCCGACCAGAGGCCACAGGTTATGGTGTTGTCTATGTGAGACCTCCTTCATCCTAGCGAGTTGCGTTGGACTGACCGAACCAGTATGTTGAGCACATGATCAAGTATGCCTCTGGTGGCACCGAGTCGTTCGCAGGCAAAAGAGTCGCCATCTCCGGCTCCGGCAATGTGGCGCAATATGCTGCCCTGAAAGTGATTGAGCTAGGTGGGACTGTCGTCTCCCTCAGTGACAGCAAAGGAGCCATCATCGCCACCACGCCACAGGGCATCGACCCAGAGATGATTGAAATCATTGCGAAACTCAAGGTCGACCGGAAACAGCTGTCCGAGGTCGCCGAGACCTCCGCATTCAGCAGCAAGGTCAAATACATCGACGGTGCGCGACCGTGGTTGCACGTGGGACAAGTCGATGTGGCCCTTCCTTCGGCGACGCAAAACGAAGTATCTGGTGAGGAGGCTGAGGGTCTCATCGCAGCCGGATGCAAATTTGTGGCCGAAGGCAGCAACATGGGCTGCACAAAGGCTGCGATCGACGCGTTTGAGGCGCAGAGGAACTTCAAAAAGGAGAAGTGGGTGTGGTATGCCCCCGGAAAGGCTGCCAATGCAGGTGGTGTGGCGGTCTCAGGTCTCGAAATGGCCCAGAACTCTGCACGCATCAAGTGGACGGCGGAAGAGGTGGACGAGAAGCTCAAGTCCATCATGAAGAACTGCTTCGAGAACGGCCTGCAGACTGCCAAGACATATGTCACACCAAAGGAGGACGAATTCCCCAGCTTAATGGCTGGCAGCAACATCGCTGGATTTACCAAGGTCGCGGCAGCGATGAGAGACCAAGGCGACTGGTGGTAGACGATGGACGAGGATTTAGAAAGACCAAACTAACGATGTGATTTGAGATGTGGTTGTACTCCGGGATGACTACTGGAGTTCGGCGTATCTACCGAGTTTATACCTATGTACGAAATGAAATGAACAAGACCACAGGAGGATTCAGAACGCATTCAACCTTCTTCCAATCGCTCTATGATTCAAGGAGAGTATTAAAATCTGCGCGGCGGTCTGTCTTGGCCTTCAACCAAACATCGATTGCTTTGCTGAACTGTGTAGCAATCAAAAGTGTTTGTTCGTATGTACAATGCCCCGATCAGTACTGGAGTGCTTCGGTGTGATCTCTCCGAGAATTGATAAGCTGGGAGCGAGCCACACAGTCAACCCATCAGGAAATGACGTGCTTAAGGAATTGTGGCTATCCGCGAAGTAGGAGCAATATACTTGAAGGTTGGAAAATGTGATTATCTGCCGCATTCCAGATGAATTGCTGTGTGTCGTGGAGCACGAGAGCATGGAGTATTTAAACTTAGTAACTTAATATTTTCCGTTATCCTCATTTTGGGATTCCACAAACCCCGGTCCGTCATGGAGGCCGACCGGAATGGCAAGGAAGATCTTACGCCCCCTTTCATGGCATGGATAGTTATGTAAGCCAGTATGTATCCTCATAGAGGCGATACTCGATAGATGGTGCCACCCAGGCGCTGATTGAGAATTCGCTTAGATAAGCTCGCTGGTTGTAAAAAGATCACTGTACTCGGTACATAGCTTCGCTTTGTAGCGCACGTGGCTAGTCATGAGGAGATTGTGCGAGGAAACAGGGCAGGAAGCAAATGAGAATTCCTTGGATTAATCTGAGAGTCAGTAAAGTCGTATTCATTCTATAGTATCTGCAAGGTTTAACACCTGATGGGCATATGCTTGAATTTGTGGGGTGTCTTTTGGTCAGAAAATGCAGCTTGTCTTGGGTACGTAGCTCCACAGACGTTTTTTAGCTATATATTATTTTCTTTCGCATTTGTTCTCAACAATCAAACAAGTGATTCCTCGATGGTCTAGTGGTCATGAGTAAGTCAATCACATCTGAGCAACTAGCAATTGCAACATCATCTAACATTCAAACAGTTTCCGCTTGTCATCACAAGATAACGAGCGCGGGAGACCAGGGTTCGATTCCCTGTCGGGGAGTTTTCTTTTTGCCCTGGAATGGATTTCTTTTTTTGGTGGGCTTCTTCTCAACGCCTGTCTCAGTCAGTCTTTGGTCAGTGCTCCGTTTGGTTTTCCTACTAAACTCCCTGATTTCAGCAACCAAGGCTTCTCGACTTCTCTGCCATAATTTTTTTGGGTATCAGGGTGCCACGAATCGCGCTACGAAAGGTGTCACAACACACAGGGCTTCATTGATAAGTGGGTGGTATCGAGACGGGTGTCGAACAGACCCTGTACAGGACGAGTCCATGCGTCTCCGCGACAACTGATCGATATCCATTACCAATGGTTATGAACGTGAGAGAAGTTGACTACGGAGCAATACTACAAATGTAATGCTCCCACAAAGTGCTTCCTTTGCAAAGTGTCCCTCAGCCGAATGCGAGGAAATGTGACAATGTTCGGCCTCACTGACACCCTCGCGTGCTCTGAAGAGAAGTGATTCAAAAGAGCATCAGCGTGCTCAAGGTGAGCCGAGAGCGTAAGGCAGCATCACACTAGTCCAGGAGAGGAGTGAGCAGCGCGTAACCTGCACGCGTAGACCATGTAAACCGTGAACACCTTGGCACCCGGACGCCGTTCCGTTCTTTCGTGCCCCACAACAATGTTCCTTTAACAGATGCGACTCTCAGACAAACAGCTGCAGCCATGCTCAATCTCTACACCGAGACAGCGTTCCAGGTGACTTCGGCGACCCCAGACTCAGTGATACGCCTCCAAGTTCCGAGAAAGAATGGCTCGTTCGAAAAACCCAAATCTGCTTCCACCCGCTCTGAGAATACCAGGGTCTGGAGCAAAGATCAACACTCCTATGCCTCCCATATCCTAGCCTCGCAAGGTTCGATATATTTCCGCGCGTCAAAAACATATCCGCGGTCGTTCTACTGGAAGGTGGTAAACAATGGAAGGGTATTGCTCGTGCAATGCGCGGATTTTGCAAGAAGCGAGAGCGATGTCAACGAGGCCTACTTTACCGTCCGGTTTGAGTTCCAGGATCCGATCATCCCTCGAGGCGTTGCCTTTGCAGACCTAGAGAGTCTCGACGAGATCAGCGCCTTTGTTTGCACCGACAAAAACGAGATCTTCAACCTGCGCCTGCCAACGAGTGCCTTCCGCGACCCGCGTGTTCTGCAAAGCGAAAACCTCACTCAGTGGTGCCAGCCACTCGAAAGCTCCGCCCTAGGCATCGATACAGTCTATCGCATACATGCCCATACTCCTTTGGTTGTGGTAATATCCTTTGCTAGCGGAAGGTTACAGCGGTTGAAGAGACGGTCTGTACAGGACGGCTGGGAACAGGATAACTACGACGACCGGTCATGGGGCGCATCAATCCGAGGGCTCGTCAGTCGCCGGGGTTATCATGCGATCGAGTTTGGTTCAACCCAGCTGGACTCAAGAACAGCCCAGACTATGGCCATTTCAGCAGATGGTGATCTCCTCTTCACAGTGTGCCTCAACCACACGTTGAGAATTTGGAACCTCAACAATGGGAGAATTGTTGCTACGAAAGACCTGGTGGGCATGACACGGGATCCCAACGACAGAACCCATTTGAACCCAGTAGAAGATGCCCTCTTGCAAGTGTTCAGAGAAGACGAAGCGCAGAAGTTTCCCACCGTGTTGACTTACAGTCCCCAAGAGGGAGGGCAGTTCAAATTCTGGGATATCAAGGGGAGCCTCACAGACAACCTTATCGTTGACGACAGATATCCAGGAACAAGACTAAGCGCCCCAGACCCGGATCCGTCGGGAAACACTGTCTGGTCCATGATCGGATTCAAGCTCGATCCTGGCACCGATCGCAGGTCTACTCAGCTCTGGGTGCTCTGGCGGAATCACAACTACCACCAGCTTTACAACTGTCAACTGGAATTGGGCAGCTTGGCGAGCTCATGGAAGTCAAACTGGGTCAAATGTAACGCAAGAGTGTCCACGAAGACTGTACCTCCAGAGTTTGTCAGAGGTGACCAGCATGATCCGTCTTCCAAGTGGTTGGATTTCTTCTTCCGTCCCGGTCGCTACTCAGAGGCTGCCCTTGACACGGCGTTATCGATATATGAGGATGCGACTTCGACAAAGTTGACCGCTTCGCAGAAGGAAGCTCCTCTAAGACAGCGAATGTGTACCACTGTAGCGGCCAACATTTCACTTCGGAAGTATGGTGACTCAGAGATGGACTTTGACCGGTTCTGTATCGACACTGATACACAATGGCGCAATTTCTACAGGATTGTGGAAAATGTCAACGACGACCGCAATGCTCCACTAGCCCTGGCCTACGATGCTTTCAGCGAGATGGTGTGGATTACCATGGCAGACAAGTGCTGTGCTATTCGAGAGTGCAGCAAGTTTGAACTACTCCAGCAGAACGCACTCAGCGACATACAAGATCTTGAGGACACTACTGCTCGATTATGGCCCCATCGGAAAGTCAGCACTGACGACGGAGAACCCTTCCTTGACCTGGCCATCCTCATCTCTGCGGCGCGGACGTTCAGGGAATCGCTTTCTTCCGATCTTGCTCAAGATCTTGTGGATGCGATCGAAGAAGACATATTGATTGGCGCTGATTATGTGACTCCGACACGAATGTTGAACACTTATGATAGTACAGGATTTGGTGATGCCATATCGAACGAAACCTTTGAAAGACTCCAGTCTGATCTCTCTCCGATGGGCGGCATCTCTGGTCTGAACAACGAGCTTTTCCTTGGGGTATTGGAGCTGTTTGCGCTTAAGAGCAGGAGAGCGAAAAGTGCCTTGAGAAATACCCTTTTTGGGAATCTTCTCTTGTCTGCTGGTGTGCTCGACTTCTTCTCCTCCCAGAAACAAGTGCTCATGGATCTTCTTGCTCTGGCGGTTTTTGTGGAAGGCGAATTGAGTCAAGAGGAGGCGAAATCGACGATATTTGACGCGTCGGAACTACATGAACAGATCGCACCCCTTCTCCGGCTGTGCAACCGCAATCTGTGGCTGGCATCGCACTCACGCTTGGTACCATTAGAGATTCTTGGCACTGATGGACACCCAAATGCCTCCCGCCGACGCTCTGATATCGTGACTGCCAACAAGAGACAGGTTACCATAATGGAGGACACATTAAGCAAAGCTGTTCGACCACAGCCTGCGGTTGAGAAACCATTGATGTATCTGATCACAGACCAGTTGTTGGAGATTGATGACTGGGCTTCTGGAAAAGATACACTGGATCCAGAAGAAGGTGCAGTCTACCTCCAATGCGATCTGCTTGTTCAAGGCCAACTCGACCTTGCCACAGAATTTTTACAGTACCAGCCTTCGACATCCTGGTCAAGCTACGTGAAAGGACGGTTGGCTACTGCGAAAGGCGAGCACGATGTGGCAGCACATTACTTTCAGAAAGCATCATATGGCCTAGCATGCGGGAAAGCGGTTGGAAACCTGGTTGCCCTTTCAGCAGGTCTCCTGTCGGCGATAGAAGCCGAGTGTTTCAACAACGGCCTGCCCGTCTACTTGCATCATATCACAACAATTTTTGAGTCTGCGAAAGCTTACAACGAAGCAGCTCGGTTTGCTCATCTAACGTTAGAATCGCTGCACGCCGGGCAGGAGCCGACTCCAAATTTCCGTACCCAAGTCTTGTCCAGATTGATCACCGCAGAGCTCAAGCTATCTAGGTTCGGTCGCGCCTACAACGCCGTGGTTCAGCTGCCTGACGAAGCATTGCAGCGATCGTCAGTAACATCCCTGATCAACTCGATATTGAGTTCAAGTGGATCTGTCTTCGGGCCCGAAGGCGTAGTACGGACCATTCGATCTCTCCCCTGGGCCATGTATCCTCAGTTTACCCGACACATGGAGTCACACCTTGTATCCCTTGCAAAATCTCAGATGACATCCAGCCTGGCTCCAGGCAATGGCAAAGTCGACTATCTCAGCGTCATGCACGCTCTACGCATCTCCCAACACGACTATCGTGGTGCTGTTACAGTCCTTTACGACCGACTGAAATTAATCCGCAAATCTGGTCGGGCTCGACATGATCCAAAGGCCACAGCATTGAGACACGTCTTGCTTGCTCTCATCAATCTTATGGCGTGCATGGCACCGGACGAGGCGTATATTCTTGCGGAAACCGAGGATAGCACGGCGGCGAATCGGAGCCAGCCGAGCGCAGAAGATATCAATGTACAAAATGACGAACAGATGATGAAGATGAGCAAGCGACGGCGCGTGATTATCACTCTGGAAGACTTGCGCAAAGAATATCAGGCGATACTGGATAGGTGTAGTCGCATTGAGCGTGGCGATTTCGATTTTGAAATCGATGGGGACGAGAGTGAAGACGACAGCGAGGAGGTGATGGCAGACCAGAGTCAATCGAGATTGAATCTATCGAAAGCATCTTTGAGAAACGGAACCAGTAATGGAGGGGACGCCATGGAATTTTGAATGTCCCGGGGTCCATGTTCTACAATCGGAAAGGTTCGAGCGGTGGTGTCGACTGAACGGAGTTCAAAGGCCATCCACATGTGTCTTTGTGAGATGTACTACTACTGGGATTAAAAGAGAGGAACAGCATTTAAATCGAGCTTGATAAAAGAACTGGTGGTTCATTTTGAGGGGAAAAAAGGCGCCCCTTGGTCGTCTGTCGATTGCTGCTATGGATAGGCCTAAGATATCAATCAAGACAGATTCTCGGATCCAATTCAATGTAATGACATGAGTATTTCATCGCCCCCACTGACTGCTTTTCTGCTTGTTCTCTCGTAAGATTCCAACCAAGCAAGAAGATGGGATGTGGAGGAAGATGGCCAGATGTCATACATGAATGAATGTTGCGACGATGCGACTGCATATTCGAAAGGACGATAGACAGACAGACAGACACACGCACGCACACGCACTGGAATTTTTATGATTAGAAGCCTGGGACGCAGGGCTCTACGTACCTAACAAGAATGCGGATTTCCTCGACGTCGCGGGCGATGAACGGGACAACCCGCTGCTGAAGCTTTTATCTCCAAGTGGTCTCTCTATCCGAAGGGGAACACTCAAGCTTGCTGCTGCCCACGTCTATCCTGCGCATGCAGAACAAGGAGTAGAGGACATGCATGCATGGCTGCCGGTAAGTCCCCAGTAGCAAGGAAAGGCGGGCGCAAAAAAAAAAAAAACAAACAAAAAAAAACAGCCCATGACTGACTGACCTGGTGTAAACCCCACAAGAGACATCTCGCTTGCCATCATTCAATCCTCTTCAATTTCTCCTTCCTCACTTCCTGAATGCACACCGCTGGGCTCCGGGACTTGCAGCATCTCACTTTCTTTGTCTTTTTTGACAGACGATGAAGGTTCGGGTGTCTTGCTCTTCCCCTTGTCACGAGACCGTGACCGTCGCTCTCGACGGTTCCGCTTTGCACTACGTCGTCCACTTTCGATACTGTCCTCACTTCCGTCCCTTCTCCGTCGTCGATCGCTGCCCGTAATGCTTCTTGCTTCTTCACCATAGTTGAGTTCGTCTCTGCTGCTGCGCGGTTCGGCACGTGTGCGATAGATACGCTCTCGTTCTTCTTCTCTCTCGCGCCGCTCACGCTCGTAAGCACTCATGCGTCGAGTTGGAGGCGATCTGTCGCGATCAAGGCGACCGTGTCTCTCATCGCGTTCTCTTCTTTCGCGAGTGTGTGAGGGTGGTGGGCTGAACCCGCTCGCCTTTCTGTATTGTTTCTCCCGAGCAGCCTGGGCTTTGCGGCGATCTGCTTCGTAAGCATCAGGCTCGGGGGTTTTCGAGAGTCGGCCGTATCTGGTCTCGCCACGGTGACCGTTACGGTGCTCTCGATCATCGCCTCGTCTCGAATGCCGTCGTTCTCGGTCCTTGTCAGCGTCTTCCTCCTTTTCCTTCAGCCGCTTGACCACCTTTTCGAAGGCAGACTTCCTTAGTTCTTCACTCTCAACGGCATGATACTCATCTGTCTTCTCCACTCGTGATTTGACATCCTCCCAAGAGTCAGAAATACGGATCGGAGGTTCTAGATGCTTGATTCTGGAGCGCAGCGCATCCACAGCACGACGCTGATGGCGGTCGGCAGCGTGCCTTTCGTCCTCGCTTCTGCGCACCACCTTGTCATGTAGACGTTGGAAAATGAGCTGCAGGGCGTCTCGATCGATATTGGCTGTTCGTCGATCAGCAAGCATGATATCAAGAAACTCGTCGAAGGAAGTTCTAGGTGTGACTTCATATCGTTTGTCCTACACGTAGTTAGCAGCGGTGGCGCAGACAGAAAGGCTCTCTGCAGCGTACCTCAAGCACATCGTACACATCGTTCCTCCTCCCCCGCAAAGCCCTTTCTTCCTCCTCAACCATGTCCCAGAACAGATCCAAAGGCGTTGAGCCGGCTTGACCCAACATTGCAACATACCTTGGGTCGTCTTCGATTTCGGGTAGTATAGTCATCCACTTGGTGCCCGCCTTGATCTTGCCTTGACTTCGCAAGGTTTGGAGTAGTTCCACGAATCTATCGCGGTTTTGTCTTTCGCGTCTTGCTTTGCTGGCTTTTTGCTGCTGACGTGCATCATTGAAAGTCCTTTCGAGAGATTTGATATGGTTCTCAAAAGCCGTCAAAACATCTGACTTACTCAGAAGCTTGAATTTCTCATCCGACTGTATCCTCTCATTCGACTGTAGCATCTCCTGGGCCTGCGCCCATCGGGTGTAGGGTTCCAAGTCGAGGGCTTTGAGAATGGCAACCAGATCATCCAGGGCTGATTTGCGAGTGGCGGCTTCCTGCTCGATATGCTGTTTCTTAAGCTCGATAATGTATTCTTCGAAAAGTTGCTTACGCTCATCCTCATTGTCAGTGGATCGGAACACGGTCTCCCCCTCGATGATAGGCCGGATAGTTTTCCATCGACTGTAGTGCTTGATCTCGGGGTGTGTTCTCAACATGTTACCGAAATCTGCGCGTAGCTTAGCCAACCTTTCTTTGGCCTTTTCCCGTTCTTGTTGCCGAACCTCGACCGCATATTTCTCGAAAGCAGCCTTCCTGTCCTTGGGGTCTTTCAAGGCTCTATACTGAGGGTCTTTGATAGTCGCGCGCATCGTCTGCTCCCAAGTCCAATCGGGCTGGACATTTGATCGTCGCAATAGTTTCATAAATGCAGCTTCCGCCTCTTCAAAGCTGGAATAATCCGGCACTACTTCTTTTGTGATGGCTGGCACTGAGAGCGCGCTCTCTGGTCGAGGTTTCGCATCGTAGGGCGTGTGGTCGTCTCGTTCGCGGTAGGATGCAAGTGCAGTAGATCCACCGGCGACAAAGGCAGGGGGTTGCTGAGTTGGCTTCGGAGGGAGCTGGACAGAATTCAGAGCATCTCGATACTGTTGCGGCATCTCCCATACAGTCTGCTTGGTCTCGGAATTGGAGTAATACTTCCGGCCTTCGGGGGTGGTGTATTCTTTCCATGGCTGGGTAGACAGCGCTTTTTCCAGCGGCGTCATCATTTCGATGGGTTTGGTCCATTTCGTCTCCTTTGTAACGGTGTGGTAGTAGTAAGTGCGGCCGTCGGGGGCACGCGCCTCTCGCCACTGTCCTGGTGTGGGTGGAAGACCGTTCATTTTCGCGCCTCAAGTATGATGACCCGTCATGTAATAAAATACAGTGGCGATGTTAGTAAGGAGCGACAGGGCCAACCTGGACATTGGCAGTGGGAAAAAGAGCTGTGATTATTATGTGTTATTGGGAAGCGGGAGGGAGTTGAGGGAGTGTGAATAGCGGAAAAAACCCAAGGGCAACATTACATAAGCTGCTCATTGACTACGGCACTGGGGTGCGCACCGAGCACCATGCTAAGTCACCGCAGTCAACCTCGTGTTCTTCCTGAGGACACTACACACTCCAAACATCAGTCAAGCACCACTCTTTCCTGCAGAACAACTCACGGTCTTATGGAGACTATGTGCCATTGAGTAGTCACAAGCACGACATGTCTATCAAGCGCCTTCTCCAGTCGACCTCCCAGTATGGAAGCTGAACTCTTCAAATCAGCCTTAGTGGATGCCATTATCCCTGAAGACACAGTGTCCGAGATCTCGGAAATTCTGCAAGCAGGAGCGGAGGCTCACAATGACTCTAATCAGCTTCTCGCCATTAAGGAACGAGACTTGCTCTTTTTTGGTATGTTCGGTGCTATTCATCTGAGGAATTCTGTCTTACTCATGCCCAGATCAGATGAAAGATTGAGGACACTGGCGGCCATACGGCTGCCTCATTGCGACGAAGATGTCTTGAAGTCATTTCTTTCACAGCTCTCCTTCAAGGTCGATGTGTGGGCCATCGAGGAGTCTCCTGGGAATGAACAAAATGCCACCGGAGCAGCTCCTCCCAAAGACCTCGTGTATACGGCTGAAGCAATCCAGAAGAACGAACCCATGGTCCTGGCGAGTGAGACCACAACCAGCGGTCAGACTTTAACTCTTGTCTGGGAAATTGAAATTTCTCTCAATCGGCCTAGGTTCCGCCTTCCTCAGCCTGCCATCATCCTGATCCCTTCCGCAACCATCACCGCTCCTCAGCGGGAAGAAACCGACAAGAATGACGATCTCGCACCCTTTCGACCTCTGGAAGCAAATGTACTTGAACCCATGCGCTTTCTCCCTGGGTGGAAGCAGAATCCTCCGTACCTTGCTGCTTCGAGGCTGGAACGAGTCCTTCCCATGACGGCAACACACAAGCACCGTGTTCATCTCCAACACGTCCCATCAAGGCGGCATAGAGCAGTCCCTGCGACAATGTCACGAATCCGGTATCAAAAGGTGAACACCTTTACCACTGCGCCCACCACTATTGCTTTGCTAGACATAGACATCATTCCATTTGTGCGAGTGGATGCAACGGTTGAGCACATTGATCTATCGCTCAAGAACGGGCGGACAGAGTCTTTGATGCCTGGATTTCTACCTATGCACGCCCGCTCAGGGGACTGTGTAACATTCCTTTACAGACTCTATCAGAATTCGGACCTGGATCGACATCCTGGATTTGGATTCGCCAACCCAAACATTGACGTCTTGTCAATTGTGCTGAGATTGGCAATGCAGGTGAATGAACAATGTCATCCAGTCCTCGTCATGAATTGGACTGCCAATGTCGATTTTACTCCAGCATTAAACCCATCCTTTGGCCCTCCTTCACAACCCATACAACGGCCAAATCGGCCAACAAGCCTTCCAGTTCACCCTGACAGTGGTGCAGTGGCATCCGTGCCCACCCTTAGCACCAGCCTGCAACCAACCTTTGCTACCAATCCGAGGAGTGGACTGTCAATATCCTTCACAGCCCCCATGTCTCCAGTCCAAGTTGGCGAACCATTCACGTGGAAGGTCCTTGTCATGAATAACTCTACAAAGACCGCCAAAATCGCCATCATTCCCTTACCCCGAGTCCAACGCCAGACGACGC